GCTTCCGTAACTGCTGTTGTTGGATGAAGCGGTCTGCAGACAATATTACATCCAGTGTCTGATGTGTTGAATTCAGTATGTCCTTACTACCTTTTTTGCCTGCTGAATCTTGCCACTTCTCATAGAGGAATGTTAAACTCATAGAGGAAGCGTCCAACTTTGACAACGGATCTATCTCTTTCTCCTTGCGTTTCTATCAGTTTTAGCTTCCTGTAGTTTGATGCTGTTAGGGATGCCCTGCTAATGACACATAATCCTATTTTTTCTCCCTATCCCTTGCATTATTGCTGCCATTCATTTCGTTTGTACCTAAGTAACTACAAACACATAAACATACATAATCACATAGGTTGTTGCTGTGATTTTAAACAGTTATCTGTTAGATTAATTCAGAATAAGAGAAGGAAACGTTTTTATTTTGCCTTCATGTATTCCTTCTCTGATGCTCTTTCTTTGTGTGCATCTGAGGTTTTTTTTTTAATGTTTATTTTTGAGAGAGAGAGAGACAGACAGACAGAGTGAAAGCAGGGGAGGGGCAGAGAGAGAGGGAGACACAGAATCTGAAGAGGGCTCTGGGCTCTGAGCTGTCAGCACAGAGCCTGACACAGGGCTCGACCTTATGAACCATGAGATCATGACCTGACCTGAAGTCGAACACTTAACTGACTGAGCCACCCAGACACCCCTGCATCTGAGTTTCTGACCTATATCATTTTACTAATCTCTTAAGAACTTTTAACATGCTGTACATTACATCCCCATGACTTTTTCTTTTATAACTAGAAGTTTGTACCTCTTAATCCCCTTCACCTTCATCTGCCACCAGCGTCTCCCCTCTGGTAACTATAGTTTGTTTCCTATATCTGTGAGTCTGTTTCGGTTTTGTTCATTCATCTGTTCTGTTTTTCAGTTTCCACATGTAATTGAAATCAGACATTATTTGTCTTCCTGTGTCTGACTTATTTCACCCAGTATAATACCCTCTAGTTCCATCCATGTTGTCACACATGGTAAGATTTCATTCCATCGCGCGCGCGCGTGTGTGTGTACCACATCTTTAACCATTCATCTATGGATGGACACTTTCATTGCTTCCGTATCTTGACTGTTGTAAATAAATGCTGCAGTGAACATAGGGGTGCACGTATCTCTTTGAACTGGTGTTTTCATTTTCTGCAGATAAATACCCAAGAAGTGGAATTTCTGGTTCACATAGTAATTCTCTTTTTAACTTTTTAAGGGAACCTCCATACCATTTTCCATAGTGACTACACTAATGCACATTCCCACCACCAGTGTATAAGGATTCCCTTTTCTCCACATCCTGGCTGCACTTGTTATTTTGTTGTTGTTTTTTTTTTATAATAGCTAATCTGAAAGATATGAGATGATAGCTCACTGTAGTTTTGATTTGCATTTCTCTGATGATGAGTGATGTTGAGCATCATGTCATGTGTCTGTTGGCCATCTGATGTCTTCTTTGGAAAAAATGTCTTCAAGTCTTTTGTCCATTTATTAATTGGGTTGATATATACGTGTGTGTGTGTGTGTGTGTGTGTGTGTGTGTATATACATATATATATAGATGTATATATATATTAAGCTCTACAACTTCTTTATGTATTTAGGATATATGATTTGAAAATATCTTCTTCCATTCATAGGTTGCCTTTTCGTTTTCTTCATGGTTTCCTTCCCTGTGCAAAAAGTTTTTGGTTTCATCTAATCTCATTTATTTTAGCCTTTGTTGCCCTTGCCTGAGAAGGGTGATCCAAAAACAAAAATAAAAAATTGCTAAGATTAATGTCAAAGAGTCCACTGCCTATGGTTTCTTCTAGGAATTTTATAGTTTTAGGTCTTACATACAAGTCTTTAATCCATTTTGAATTCATTTTTGTATACAGTATAATATAGTGGTTCAGTTTTCCCAGCACCATTTATTGAAGAGATGGTCTTTTCCCCACTGTATATTCTTGTCTCCTTGGTCATAGATTAATTGACCATATAATCATAGATTTATCTCTGGGCTCTCTATCCTCTGATCTGTGTGTCTGTTTCTGTGCCATTACCATACTTTTTTGATTAGTACAACTTTGTAGCATAGTTTGAAATCAGAGCGCATGATACCTCCAGCTTTGTTCTGCTTTCTCAAGTTTGCTTTGGCTCTTCAGGGTGTTTTGTGGCTCCATGCAAACTTCAGCATTCTCTGTTCTAGTTCTGTAAAAAATGTCACTGATATTTTGACAAGGATTGCATTGAATATGTATATTGCTTTGGGTAGTATGGACATTTCAACAGTATTCTTCCAAATCACGAACATGGTATATCTTTCTAGTTGGGCCAGGTTCAGTTTCTTTTATCAGTGTCTCAGAGTTTTGAGAGTACAGGTCTTTCACCTCCTTGATTAAATTTATTCCTAGGTATTTTGTTCTGTTTGATGTAAATGTAAATGGGATTGTTTTGTTAATTTCTCATTCTGATAACTTATTTTTAGTGTAGAGAAGTGCAACCAATTTCTGTATGTTATTTTTGTATCCTGTGACTCTACTGAATTCATTTATTCTAATAGTTTTTTGGTGGAGTCTTAAGAATTTTTTAATATATATAGTACCATGTCATCTGCAAATAGTGACAGTTTTACTTCTTTTCCAATTATAATGCCTTTCATTTTTCTTTCTTAATTGCCGTGGCTAGGATTTCCAATATTATATTGAATAAAAGTGGTAAGAGTGGGCATCCTTGTCTTGTTCCTGATCTTAGATGAAAATCTTTCAACTTTACACCATTGAGTATTATGTTAACTGTGGATATGTCCTGTATGTTCTTTACTATATTGAGATACCTTCCCTCAATACTCACTTTGTGAGAATTTAATACTTCTTGCAAAGCAAATCTACTGGCAAAACATTTGCTCAATTTTTGCTTGTGTGATAAAGTATTTCTTTTTAAATGCTGAAGGATAATTTCACAGGGTAAAGAATTCTAGATTGGTGACATTTTCCCTCTCTCCACACTTTAAATATTTCACTTCCTTCTCCTCTTGCTTGCATCGTTTCTGAGAATCAGATCTAATCCTCTGATCCTCTCTAGATAAGGTAATTTTATCCTCTGGGCTTTTTTTAAGGTTTTTCTTTATCTTTGATTTTCTGAAGTTTGGATAGGGTATGCCTAAATGTAACTTTTTGTTTTATATTTATTTGTTTTATATTTATGCTGTTTTACATTTATTTCACCAAGCTGCCTACATTGGTAGTTTGAGGTCCAACATTAATATTTGGAAATTCTCATGCATTATTGGTTCAAATATTTATTCTGTTACTTTTTCTGGTATTCCCCATATGCAAGTATCACATCTTTTGTAGTTGCCCTAGGGTTCTTGCATATTCTGTGGCATGGGTTTTTTGGGGTTTTGTTTGTTTGTTTGTTTTCTTTGCTTTTTAGTTTTGGAAGATTCTATCGAAATGTCCTCAAGTTCAGAGAGTCTTTCCTCAGTTGTGTCCTTTCTGTGACAGTGTTATTGATCTCTCATATTTTTAATTGATTCTGAGAATTTCCATCACTATTTCCATCACTACTTACATTACACATCTGTTCTTGTATAATCTCTTTTCATTAACAGAGTTGTTTTGAATTCCTGCTCTAATTTTTTTTTTAATTTTTTTTTTCAATGTTTGTTTATTTTTGGGACAGAGAGAGACAGAGCATGAATGGGGGAGGGGCAGAGAGAGAGGGAGACACAGAATCCGAAGCAGGCTCCAGGCTCTGAGCCATCAGCCCAGAGCCCGACGCAGGGCTCGAACTCACGGACCGCGAGACCGTGACCTGGCTGAAGTCGGACGCTTAACCGACTGCGCCATCCAGGCGCCCCCTGCTCTGCTAATTTTAACATCCCTGACATATGAGTCTGGTTCTAATGCTTGTTCTATTTCTTCAAACTGAGATTTTGACCTTTTAGTACTCTCAGATTTTTTCTCGGCATTGGCACATGATGTACGAGGTAGAAGGAACCTAGCTCTGGTTCCAGCAAAAGTTTCTGCTTGTGGGTTTCACTCTGATAAGTTGTGATTCTCTGTTTCCATCTATGTCTCCAAATTTGGTGCATCGGTTTGCCCAGCGACCTTATCTCTGGCAGATCTGAGATGATTTTATTTTTTCAGTTATTTTCCTTATTGTTAATATAAAGTAATGACATTCACACTCCTTACATGTAAGACTAGAATATGGAACTTATTGCAAGACATGAAAGGAAAACAAAAACAAACTTCTTTAACTCTGGATAACACTTTCTACATTTTCTTCAAATATCCCATCCAAACCAACATGTAGGGTTTTTGGTTTTGTTTTATTTTGTTTTGTTTGTCATAAGCAGAACTTCAGTTAAGATGTTAACCCCACCACAAAGGCACACAGTTCTGTTAAGGTGAATATTGCTATTGGTGTGAAGAAATGGATACAGGTAGCTTCTTAAAAAAACTGTTATTTGCCACTAGGACCATAAATAAGAAAGACAAAAGTCCACAGTGGCCCCAACCATAAATATCCTAAAAACGTAACTATGAATCCAAGTTGTTGGGATAAATATTGAACTCGTCTTCCTATAAAAACATTTCTTGACTAAACTTTTCAGTTGAAGAACTGTTACATGCAGTCATAAAAATAGTGAAATTTAAACAGTATTTAAAATTTAAATAATATTTAATGGTATGTAATGAAATATATGACCTCCATTTTTACAAGTTTATTAGGATGCCTTTTTTTAACTTAGCCTTTAATGATAATAGGATATAAAGCACAATTCTCAAAATTTTATTCAACTCATCAATGAGGGAACCATCAAGACTTTAAGAGCTCACTTAACAACTGAGAAAGAAGGAGATTGGTTAGTCAAGAAAAAAATGTCTAAATATGTCTAAGATTGCTAAATTATGTATAAGATTGGCTGTCTAAAGGCCAATAAATTATATTATCAATATTTTCTGGTTAACCTCTAACTTTATTGAGCTCTAAACTACCTGCACATTTATCAGTTGTGGATTGTGAGTCAAATACACTGTGACCACAAAGTTACACCTCCAGGAGTATCAGATCAGAATCCAGCAGGATTTTAATAAAATGCTCTAATGTCAGAAGTAAGCACTACTTTGCCTCTTTCTAGATGCGGCTCCATAGGTCAACTTGTCTTCTGCACCAAGATGCCTTTTGGGTTCAGAGGGATGAAGTGAAAACTCCCAGCCCCAGCACATCCCTGCTGGAGCTTTATGTACAATATACAACCCAGACAGACCAGGTGTAGCATGCTAAAAATTAAGGTAAGAAATCAGTATACAGCAGCCCCAGAAGACCGCCATTTATCTTCAAGGTAGTAAATTCCATCAGTGTGTTTAAAGGAGGATGAAAGAGAGTTGCAGACTCATTGTTAACCCTGTCTCACCCACATATATGTAATATTTCTATAAGTTTTCCACCATTTGGTTTTGGTGGTGGCAATTGATACAATTTTTTTAAAGGGCAGAATCATAACTTTCATGCAAATGTAAAAAAAAATCCACATGCCATAGATTTTATATAACTCAATTAGGAGGCCAGCAAGATGTTCCCATTGGTTCAAAGGAGAATTCAAACAATTTACCCATATACAGGCAACCGGGAATGTGGAAATGAATTTATGTGTAAATGCTAAACTTGTCATCATTTACAGGACAGTAATCTATTGCATTACACAAAATTAAATCCATTAAATTATTCTGGAAAAACGATAACTTACAGAACTTTAGTTTCTTAGCACCTGTAGATTAGAAAATAGCTCAAAAACAATGAATTAGAAGATGGAGAGGGTGAGCTGGACCGAAACCCAGTAATCTTTGGTGTGGATGTGTGTGCATTTCAAATGTGTCATTTTTTCCTGACAGTGGACACTTTTATCAGGTGTTTACCCAGAAGTGGATTTGCTAAATCAGGGGTATTCGTATGCTTAGGGTTAGTGGCTAGTGCAACATACTTGTTCTCAAGTGATTATGTCAACTTACACACTCATCAACGAGGTAGAATTCTTTACATGCCCTTGAAAAAGAGGAAGTTGTGAACCTCCGTTCATATCCAGAAAGGGTGAACCTTGAAATAGTCACCTTTGTAGATCTCACGTATCCTAAATTTTTAGAGCCGTCATCTGTGGTCTAATACAGAATTGTTCTGTTTTTTGCCTCTGGTTCCAGGCAAAGACTTTGTAAAACCCTTGGAATTAGAGTGACAGGTGTGTATCTATTATGCTAATGAGGGCACTCATGGCCAAGCCCTAGTTAGCTTCAGGATGGAGGCTGGTCCCCGAAGAGACCAACCCCTGCTTAGAGCATTGTAACTTTGGGCTACCTTGACTTCTGGGAGGAGGGGTGGGGGGGGCCTTGGAGATTGAGTTCAATCTCATGTCCAGTGATTTAATAAATCATGACTACCTAATGAAGCCCCACTAAAAATTGCACACACAGAACTCAGTGAAGCTTTCCGCTTTGTGAATACCTGGCTGGTATCTAGAGTTGCCGCATATACTAAGTGTATGCCGCTTCTTTGTTGAATGAGTAAATACAATGATTCTACCTGCGTCTTATATCCAGCTCTTGCGTAAATCGTTCCGGAAGTGTAAATTCTCTGAGCACCGGCCAGTCTAGGGATGGCTTGATGTTCTGTCTGTGCAGACAGATTCTAGAAGGTTATGACTAAGCAGCGGGAACACTGTGTAGGAAGGCTATAAATCATCCCAGCAAATGACACCCGTTAGCACAATAATTTTCAATTCAAAGCAGGTCAAGACAAATTGACCATCCAACTTATGTCCAGACAGTGGGCCCTGGCCTCTCTAATATGATTAAGAGGAGGCCATTGTGTCTCATTATCTCCCAATATGAATAGGATTCTAGTCTATAATTCATAAATGCTTAATTTGTGAGGCTAAATTCCACAGACAAAATATTTAAATATTCATCTCTAGGGAATTAGATTAGCACAAGAGGCAAAAAAAAAAAAAAAAAAGTCTAAAGCTGACATTAGGCATTCACCAGTAAACATTCACAAGCAGCACCATGTCCTCTGATATCAGAATGACACCTTAGCCTTCATTTCCTAGGATTGTTTAATTTTGGGTAAAAAGTGTTATGTTGGACTTTGGATATCCAGCTTCGACATTTGATTTAATCTTTGTTCACAGTGCAGAGTTAAGTTTTGATCAATGGAGCGAGAAGAAATGGATGCCACAGGAGAAAGGATCTAACGCTCTCCCGGTGAATTGAGAAAGGTAGAGCAAAGAGAGAACCTTGACCTTCATTGTATGTGGCTACCAGACTTTCTCTAGGTTCAAAGTTTTACTGGAAACTTTTTTTTTTAACTCCTAGGCTTACATTTACTATTTATGTCTCCCATGCAGAGTATGCCTTAAAAATTTTTTTTAATCAGAAATTTCATTTTCAGGCAGGTACACAATTTGTGAATGACTAAAGAGATCTGACTGTATCATGGAAACCTCATTGTTGACTTCTGGCCAATTGCGAGTAACTTCAGTATCTAATTCAGAAAAGAATGGTCTCTTGCTCTTGCCAGAGCAAAAGCTGCAGCAATATTAATGGAAGACAGACTCTGTTCTAGGCTATTTACAACAGGGGACAGGACAACACTCAACTCAATGTCACTGAGCTCAACTTCATTGAAGTTGAATGAGGGCAGAAAAGAGTTCGTAAGTGCTGGCATGAGAGGCAGAACCCAACTCCTCTGTGTTTGCTAATTAGATTTACCCAAAGGAAAAATAAATTCTGTAGTACCGTTGGGACAGGAAGTAGTTTTACAACCAGGAGCAAGGCACACATCAACATTAGGCTCCTATCTTTTCACAGAGACTGGGGCGTGCTGGGGGGCTTGGGGGGGGGGGGGCGTCTAGCTCCCTCGATGTTTACATTCAAAAAGATGGGATGCAAAACTGGCAAGATGCTTTTTAAAAGATTTATCATCTCAAAGAGGCAGGAAAAAATATTGACAAGCTTCCTTACATACATGTTCTAGAAAGGAACATCAGGTGCCTTTGTAAAAAGTTTGATGGAGCTGAGGGTAATGTGAAGGCCATCTTGGTCGATGTATTTAAATGTGTTTAAAAGTACTGAAGCAGTTGGGGCCCCGGGTGGCTCAGTCAGTTAAGCATCTGACTCCTGATCTCAGCTCAGGTCTTGATCTCAGGGTTGTGAGTTCGAGCCTTGCATTGGGCTCTTAGCTCAGTGTGAAGCCTGCTTCACAACACCAACAAAATTGCTGAAGCAGTCTACCTGCCAGAGTTGTATAGGAAAATAGAACCAATAAGATGGATGTACCTTCCACTAGATATAAAGAGTTGGATTTAAAGGGATGGGCTCATGTTATCTTGGGGGCTGGCAAGTCTGAAATTTGCAGGCAGACTGGTGACCCAGGGACGAGTTGATGCTGCAGTTTGAGTATGAAAAGCTATCTGCTTTTTACAGGATCCCCTCTTCCTTGGGAGACCTCAGTCTTTTTCTCTTAAGGCCTTCAACTGATTGGGTGAGGCCCACCGACATCATGAAGAATAATCTGCTTTACTCAGATTATTCTGAATTAAATGTTGATCTCATGTAAAACATACCTTCCCAGCTGCATATAAACTGATGTCTAACCATATATCTGGGTACCATGACATCACCAAGTTGACACATAACATTAATCCTCACAGGCTGTAAGCCCAGTATATAGAAAAAGCCTCCAAAGGGCTAGATGGAATTTTGAGAATGTGTTTATCTGTAGAGTAGGTGTCTGAGGAATATTCCTGTGCCACTATTATTGAATAAATCAGCTATTTAATGGGGGGAATTCAGGTGACTTGACAGGGACTCCCTTCTTGTGAGTTTTTATAGTTTCAGAGAAGCAGAGACCATCATAATTTTTCTTTTCTGGATAACGAAGCTTGCTTTGAAATACATGAATATCAGAAAAGTGCCCTCAGGCAAAGAAGATGCAGCTTTTTAAGAAAAGGATCCAATTTGGGAAGGAGGAACAGTGCTTCCATGGCCACACAGGTAAGGAGATTCTGACCTTCTGATGATAAGAGAATAGTATTTCTGTAACTGCAGGGGACCCAGCACACAATCTGAGAAGTAAAGAGATTTGCAATTTACATTTTCACTGTGATATGGAAAAAAAAAAAAAAAGATGTGGGAATACAGCTTTTCGTAGAGTTAGTCTGCACACCTACAACCCGTGCTAAGAATTAGATGTAGGTAGCCTTAAAAATGAGGGCTTTGGATATTGGGTAGGGCTCGGTACTTTGGGAGAGTAGCAGATAGAACAAAATAGAAGGGTGCATTCAAGCACTAAATAGAGATGTTAAGAAAAGCTTGCAGCAGGTGAAGTTATTATTCACCCAATGTGGTGCTATCTCTCAGATCACTGGATACACCTTAAAATGCAAATTGCTCTTTTCTAGATATTGGCGATTTTTTCTCTCCTACATGGGCCTGAAGATCATTTTCTACCCATGGCCTTGTTTTTCAACTTCCAAAAATCTGTAGAAAGATGAAGGTACCCTAATCTGTTCCCATGGGGTTTCTCCTTCTCTTGGAGTTTTCATCATCCTATCCTGTTCAGCTCTCAAGAATCTGCTAATGAGGGGCGCCTGGGTGGCGTAGTCGGTTAAGTGTCCGGCTTCAGCCAGGTCACGATCTCGCAGTCCCTGAGTTCGAGCCCCGCATCGGGCTCTGGGCTGATGGCTCAGAGCCTGGAGCCTGTTTCCGATTGTGTGTCTCCCTCTCTCTCTGCCCCTCGCCCGTTCATGCTCTGTCTCTCTCTGTTCCAAAAATAAATAAACGTTGAAAAAAAAATTAAAAAAAAAAAAAAGAATCTGCTAATGAAAACTTCTAGCACGAAGGAAATTAAACCACTCTAAGACACAGATTTATGGAGACGTATTTGTTAGCTACGTAATCACATCTCAAAGATCAGCAGTCTGCATAATGACATTGAATTGTGCTCGTTTCCAGAGCCCATATTCTAGGTTCCTTTTTCCTATTCCACTTTCTTTCTTTCTTTCTTTCTTTCTTTCTTTCTTTCTTTTTTTTTTTTTTTTTTTTTTTTTTT